GGGCGGGGACAGTGCTCGGGCGGAGCGGGGCTCAGCAGCGCCGAGCTCAGCCCTGCACGGCAGAGCCGCGGCGGAGCGCGGAGCGGCGGCAGCACAAGCACCAGCACCGCCGGGCAGCGGGCGGGGCGGCGGCAGCGGCAGTGCCGGTGAGTGTGTCCGTCCCTCGGCGGGGCTGTGTGACCAAATAAACCGGGCAAGCTCGGTTTGTTTCTTACGCCGAGCAAAGCTCCCCGCGGCTCCGTGCCGGAGGAGCTGCCGCTGCCCGTGCGGGGGTCGCCGGCGTTCCCTGGGCGCCTGAGGGAGAGGGAGGGGGGAACGGGCTGCGGCGGGAGAGGAGGCGTTCGGATCGGGGCTGCTTCCCCGCCGCGGGATAACCGATAACCCGCGGGGAGCAGCAAACAAGCCCGGAGCCCCCCCAGTGCTCGCTGAGCTCCTGCGGGCGCACTGAGGGCACGGACGCGCTCGCTGTCCGGCCCCGCGGAGCTCAGCCGCGGTTGCGCTCGGGTGGAAATGCCGCGGTGCCGTGTCCCCCACGCCGTGTCCCGGGGGCTGTCCGGCTGTTCCCAGCCCGGAGCTGAGCTTCCAGAGCCCGGCTTTGAGGAGCTGATCCCGCCGGAGGCAGCCCCGTCCTGGCGGCTGGCTCAGCGCACCGCAGACCGTGTGCGCACCCCGAGTGCTGSCCATTAAAACAACTAAACTTGTGCSTTATTTGTCCAGGTAATTCTGCGGCTAGCACGCTTTAAGGTTTGAAGTTTTAAATTACATTGCAGAAAAAGCTCAGTGATTAAAATTTAATATTAATATTAAAGCATCRACTCAGTTTTGGATTCGAGTTTGCATTTCTGATGTATCGCTGTTAACGCTCGTTTTTTTTTAAATGCTGCTCGCTCTTGTTAAGGCGCACGAATTCCCCCATGTGAGGATGGGAATGAACAGCTAAAGCATTAAACTTGTCAGGCACTGGCTGTAACTTCTTGCAGTGCTGGTGGCAAGGTGGGAAGAGTTTGATGTGTGTGGAGCGGAGGGACGATGCGCAGGTGTCCGTGTGTTTTACCCATCCCTGTCTCATCGGTGAGCGAAGGCACTGGGTGGGGCAAAAACAGGAGAAGAGGATTGTTACACATTGTTACACATTGTTACATGTGTGAATTTTCTCCTTCCCACACCGCCTTGTTTTGTTTCAATCAGATTGATGGATGATTTCTCGTATATCAAATATTCTACACTCTGTACTCTACCTGGTGTTAAAGGGCTACTTAAAACCTGCATAATGTTATGAATTTTGTGCTGTTAATCACCTACGAGCTCAGGTTTTTCAGTTCTCCTCTCATTTTTGGTGTGATCTGGTGATTTAGTCTAATGGAAAATGACGCCATTCTGTGTAGGTGAGACGTGTTTGCGAAAATGTTACAGCATAGATTGAGCCAAATGTCTGTTTAATGGTTTTTTATCCATTCGGTGAAATTAGTATGTTTTAAATAAAGCTTCAAAGCTCCAGTTGTAGAGCTGCTAAAACTTACGAGAGATTGTTATCCCCTTCCATCAATTTTGTGATACTTTTCCAGATTCCGTCAGGTCCTGGTTGGATTTTTTGGGGTTTGTTTTTTTTTAAGCCATGAGGCTTGGACCAGATTCACATTTTATTATTTTACACCCATTGTATTTTTTTAGAATTACTCTGGCTTGGTGGAGTTGATGAGGAATAATTGCCAAGGGAAGGGAGGGAGCAAGAATGGCTGATGGGTTTTTCTTCAAGGTGTGGGTTGTCTACAGAATAACACAGGGCAGCCCAAGATATAATACGATGTGAAGGCTTGTGGCAATGTGAAGTTTCCTGTTGAATGCAGTCATGAGTTCCAAAATTTGACCTCATGAGACTGTCTGTCCTGTATTTTCACATCCCCTAGTCAAGTTTGAGTTGGGATTTTTAAATTTGCTTTGAGTTTGTCTGGTTGTCTGCCACTGTCAGTGAGCGATTTGCTCACATGTAGATGGAAGTTATTCATGAGCATGTCAGTCGTCGACTTTCATATTCAGGGGGTGAATAGTTCTAGGAGCACTGTTGTAATAACTCTCTTGAAATTTATTCTGTTGATGTTAATGTTGTATTTATGTGTAGTTTAGCTCAATTTATTATCTTGTGTATCACAAAATGTAGCAGTGAAAATGAGCTAGTGCTGTAGAATTCCTCAAGCAAGATCTGGCTACTCCTTGCTCTTTAGGCTTTTTCAACTAATGTTTTATCTCTCAAAATTTCAAATTTGTTTTTGGGTTGCTCATCATCAGTGAAGACACATTTTTGGCATGCTTGAATACCTTTTAAAATAATTTCTAGCAATTTGTGCGYTGTGTGGGCAATACATTATTCTGTCTGTGTAAAGCACAGGCTGAATTAATATAGGGTGCATCTGTCCTATAGTCAGTTTTTCAGGCTGTCCTTATCCGAATTAAGCTGTGTGTTCAAAATAACGTTAAAAATTGGTGTGTAAGCATGGTTTTAAAAGTTAATGTTTGGTTTTCTTTATTTTATATACACTTGCGTATCTCTGATATGGTATAATGGGCAGATGGTAGGGAAAGATGTCTGTACAGTCAGCTGTAATTAGTGATAAATGTGTCTTTATGAATATATACATACTTTGCCTGTATGAAAAAAAGAGAGTAGTTAAATTTGGAAATCTCTTAAAAAATTTTGGGTTTAAATTTTTGCATCTTACCAGCATGGTCTTATGAACTGGATGACTAAACATAAGCAGAACTTGGAGGTGGGGGAAATAACACACTGTGTATTCCTGCAGGAGGAAAGGAAATACTTTCTGAATCTTGAATTATTGAATTGACACAAGAACGCATTTTGTGRAAACTTCTTTGTGAAATAGTCCGGGACATAACAAAGCTGTAGCCGCTTCAAGACAAAAAAAAAAATTAATCCCACAGTTCAGTAATAACTGTGAAGTTTTTGGTACTTATTTTCCCTCTGTACTTAGCATTTAAAGCAGTACAAACTGACAGGGATGTAAGGAAGCATTGATCCCATTAAGAACTTATTTATTTCTGGTGTAAATACCTCAGTGCAGTCACCAGAAAGGTTGTGTTCTGAAGGTCTGTAGCAATAAAGTAATGTGAGAATGGTTCTTTGTCTGCCTGTGGCTTTGGTAGTTCTCAGCAGCTTCTCGTTTGGTGGCCTTAATAAAGTATCKGTGATAAAGAATTGTTCTTATGTGGTGTGATTAAAATATCAGCTCTAAGGTCGTGTTCTGGTTTGTTTAATACACTTCAAAGCCAATGATTATGAGAACTGCAGMCCGTGGCTAATGTGGTAAAAGCTGTGTGAGTTATCCATGTCCTTTYTGGGCTTTCAGAGTCATTGCAGAACAGCTGTAGCTGTGAGATGGGAAAAAGGGGAAATTTCTTATTCATACAATCTAATGAGTTAAATGTGTGTATGGCTTTGGGGTTAATKAGATTTGACCTCCTGTGTTGTAAAGGGTTTTTGGTTTAGTTCAGTGTTTAAATATTATGATAATTCTTGAGAAATATTTTTGCAGACCTTGAGAATCCTCTTTCAGGAAGAATCAATAATGACAAGTAATTTACTGCCTAGAAGGAGAAAGTTAAAACAACATGGTTGTATTTCGTTTTAACCAAACAGCTTCCAATTGATAGGCTGGCTGTCTTTGCACTAATTTATGTACTTYATGTACTTCAGCCCTGAAGTTTTCATGGTTACAGCTAAAGAAATAATTGCTTAATAATGCTCTGTTTCTACTCTGCTGTCTATCTGACAGTTCTAACCCACTTGATGGGCCTAATGGACAATCTGCTGCTTCTAGAAAGATCTATTCTCTCAATTTTAAAATCAAATCAAAACTGAAGCTGTGCCATATGTGCAGGGGGATGTCTCAAATGCACAAACCCAGCACCTGTTAGCCAGCAATGATCTCCCCAAACCCTGGAAGAGCTGCAGTTCCCGTGCTTTTCTCTTTTCAGCTATTTTTGTTGTGTTTCTGTATGGGCAGTAGGTTTGGGGGGATTTCCTCATCTCAGGAAAGTGAACTGTCATTTCCTTTTTGAACTTTCTGAACAACACACCAAAGGCTTTGTTTTACTTTTGCAATTCTGGTTCTGCAAATTTTGCTCAGATACCACAGAAAGGAAGTGCTTTCATTGCCTTTGCAATAAGACAAAATGCCCAAACACTTCTCACGAGTCGCATTTTGCGTCTGGTGCTTTTTGAGCAGCAATGCCACTCCAGCTTTGATTCTCATGTGCAWCTTTGGAGAACTTGGACGTCTACTTTTCAACATGATTTTTTTTAACAGCCCTTGGCATGTCAAGGTAGTGTTAAGAGCGTGGGTACTTTGCCAAAGACAGCCTGTCGGAACTCCTCAGCATCACTCAGCCACTGGAGATTGCCTCCTTCCCTGGCACAACAGCAAAGTGCCAGGCTTTGGGAACTGTCTCCATGTCTGAGGTGATGTTTGCTGCCCTAGTTTYCCCCATACATCTCAGTTATGTAAGTTGGAGTAGGAAAGAAAGGTCTAAAGATTTAAGGCATCATTTTTTAATTAGCACACCAAAACTGCCCTTTTCCCGATGCTTTTCTTTCCACGTTTAAATTAAAGCAGCTCCTGGAGCATTTAATGACTGTGTACTTCACACAGCAATTGGAGTTCACTGAAGCAACTCATGTTTTCTCTCTCAGATATCTTTTTCTCAAAAGAAGCATTTGCTCCAGTTTCTAAACTATTTAAAGCAATTAATCAAAACCTAAGACGACAGGAACAGCTTACTGAACTATCAGGTCTTCAACTTGAGAAGAGGTTGATGCAAAGGGAAGGTGCCCAAGTCCCCATGAGTGCGTGTAAAGCCTGTAGGTGAACGATGACCTTTTCATCTGCTAAGAGATATGAGAAGTGGGAGGAAGAAGAGAGGGGAGACGAGTTATTTTTACTGTAAATATGTCAGTTTATTGACTTGTTAATTTCAGATTTATTCAAAAAAGCAGGAGGAGGAAAAAGTAATGTCTGCCAAAACCAAAGTAATTAGTGGGAGTTGAAAGATGTCTAATGACTCTTACAAGTAYTAAAGAGGAATAAACTAGTCTCTTATTAAACTGGATATGGACTTTTAAAACACCGTAGTA